CTTACTCTGTGTATGTGGTAAGTGAACTTTCATGTACTGTAATGCAACAGGCTACCGCTAGCAAGCGGCTAACCTTTTAGTGGCTCCGTATAACACGTTATTTGTTTCACGCTTCGGGCACACCCCTAACCCTGCCCCGCCCCCCGATGTCATTGTCCATCACGATGTTTCACTGCAGACATCGTCTGATGCCAATTTGGTAGACATCGCCCAACCCTAAAACATTTTGATCTGAAACACGTTCAGATCAAATCACAACAACGTAGGAAACAGATCCGTGTGACGCAGCTGACACAGAACAACATACGCTGTTTACGTCCAGACAAATTGTTGAATAAAGTCATTCTTTTTTTTTCTTTTGCGCACAAAAATTATTCTCGTAGCTTCGTAAAATTACGGTTGAACCCCTGATGTCACATGGATTATTATTATACAGATCTCCTTGCTACGTTTCTGGACTTGGGAACATTTCAGTTGCGTTGCTGTCTATGCAGGGTCAGACAGCTCTCAGATTCCATCAAAAATATCTTAATTTGTGTTCCGAAGATGAACGAAGGTCTTACGGGTTTGAAATGACATGAGGGTGAGTAATTAATGACAGAATTTTCATTTTGAGGTGAACTAACCCTTTAACGCTGTCCAGGTGTACTACTGCCCAACAAAGAAAACGCTTGTTCATTTAAAGGTTCATTTAAATATAACTGCATTCCAGGGATGTGGTTTTCATACAGTTATTTCGTTAAGTACAGAGGAGACTGGAACCTTTTAAGGGCTAATATTTGTCTGACCCTGCATAGACAGCAATACAACGGAAATGTTTCCAAGTCCAGAAACGTGGCAAGGAGATCTGTAAAATAATCCATGTAACATCAGGGGTTCAACCGTAATTTTACGAAGCTACGAGAATAATTTTTGGAGAAAAAAAATAACGACTTTATTCAACAATTCGTCTCCTCCACGTCACCCTGTAGCGCCATTTTGGAGAGTATCCACTGGACGTAAACAGTGTAGGGTTGGGCCGATAGACGATGTCATCGTCCATCGCCGATGGCTGACATCATGATTCCTTCCCACCACACCCTCTCCCGCAATCCGCCGCATCCCAGTTCCATGTTCAGAAAGGAAATGAAGTGTACTACGGAAACCCTAAAGGGAATGGAAAGCCTACGAGATGGGAGGATAAAAAAAAATATTTCAATACTTTTTCGATGAACAAAGGTCTTTCGGGTTTGAAACGACATGAGTGTGAGTAATTAATGACAGAATTTCATTTTTGGGTGAACTAACCCTTCAAGCCTGCTTCTGTAAATCCACATTCCAATTGCAATTCAGCATCATATTTGCATAATAAAATACTGTTTTTCACACAACTCTGATGTCTGTATAGATTAGTTAATGTTATGTTTGTTTGTTTTTTCTCTATAGTGTCAGTGATGCCTATTCACCCCTATATTGTATATATTGTAAATCAGTGCGCTAATACCATGTTAACACACTTTCCATGTAGAAACAGTAACTGTCTGAACTAGGGGTGTGCGATATTGACAAAAAATTTAATTTTTAGGTATTTTTCGGTAACAATAATTAAACAATATTATGCTGGTACCCTGGCTGGTTTAAGCCGGTCATAACTAAATATGACACTCAAACCACCAGTAGGTGGCGGCAAGTCGCTGTCTTAATGAGTGATTAATTGAATCATTCATTTGTACGATTCATTCAGAACTGCTGATTCATTTAGAAACGAACAAGTGACTGTTGTTATGAATGGCACATTGAATCATTGACTCAAATAACTTGTTCAAAAACAGATTAATTTATGAACGAAACTCAGCAGTGCTGCTACGAGGTGCACAGATGTTCTGATCCGACTTTGTTTGGAACTATTTTCTTTGGCAAACAGAAGAAAAACAATGTTTTGTCTACAATGTATCTCACTTAATATGAACGTCTTGTTTGTTGAACGTGCTGATATTCAGGAAAACTGCATTTTTGCTACTCGCTTATCGTTAAAACAATAAATATCGCACACCCCTAACTATGGTAATTCCAGTAGAAACTGTGGTTTATAGTAAATGTTATAAGGCGTGTAGAAATATGATCAGGATGTCTCATATTCAGTGTTGGGTGATGAATCACAGTGAGGAATGTGATGTTGAGATTTCCTTCACGTCTGGACCCGTTCAGTAGAAACAACACCTGCAGCAGCACAGATACAGTGCACTTTGATCTCTCACAGCTTTCTCTATCACTGCTCACGAGATCTGTTATGTTAGGTAAAATTATGAACTATGTCTCAGATGTTTCTGCTAATATTCAGTGAACAGACCCAAATGAGTTATAGTCATCATTCAGTAACAGTCTAGAGCTGCAAAAGCTGAGTTCATATAGAGACTTTAGTATCTTAAGTTCTTTAGTTGTGCTGTGTAGGATGAATCACTGTGATATAACGTAGATTTCACCTGTGTGTTTTTGCAGCGTTTGTCATCTATAACTTCTTGAGTTTGTGTTACGAGTATCTGGGTGGCGAGAGCGCCATCATGGCCGAGATCAGAGGAAAACCCATCCAGTGAGTTCAGCGTTTACTGCTCCTCTCTGTTTCTCTGTCACGTGTTAATTCAGCTGATCTGAGGAGTGTGTGTTCATTCAGGTCCAGCTGTGTTTACGGCACTTGTTGTCTGTGGGGCAGAACGTACTCCATCGGCTTTCTGCGCTTCTGCAAACAGGTACCACACACACACACCTTCAAACATAAATAGGTTGATGTCTCATAAGGAGTAGTGGAAAAACACTTTTAACGCATATGCGAAGTGCTTAATAATGACTCAAACTGCATAGCAATAATTCATAATAATAAATAATAAATTAATAATATAATTAATTATCTGAGAAGTCATAATAAATTATTATCAGTAGAAATAAAAAGCAAACAGAATATTTTTGTACAAAATCATTAATAAAAAAAAAAAAACTATTTAATATCTTGAAATGTCTTGGGGTTTCACCATCCATATTAAAACCTGACCTTTTCTGTGTTATACATGGTTCAAATTTTATGATATTTGTAAAAGATGAGGGTCTTAATTGTTTATCACACAGCATTTCTAGATTTTTCTTGACCTTAATTTGGCAACAAAGGTCTTTTTTGTTGTTGTTGTTGTTAAAGCTACACTATCTATTTTTTTGGAAATAACAATACCAGCTTACTCCAGGTTACTTTATAAAGCAGGAATAAAAACAATATCAGAAAATGAAAAATGTTTATTATAGTTAATTGAGTCATTTGAAGTCAGTTGAGTTCTGTGTCTTTATGAAGTGTATTTTATTTTTTTTTGGAATAACTGAATGTGTGTGTCTCAGGCAACGCTGCAGTTCTGTGTGGTGAAGCCACTGATGGCCATGATGACCGTCATCCTGCAGGCCTTCGGGAAATACAGAGACGGAGACTTCAAGTGTGTCTGTTCAGCTCACTAATCAAACACACAGATATCAGTGAGTGTTTTATGAGAGACTGATAGTAAACCGCATCTCTCTCTCTCTCTCTCTCTCTCTCTCTCTCTCTCTGTCTCTCTCTCTCTCTCTCTGTCTGTCTGTGTTTCAGCGCGGCCGGCGGTTATATATACGTGACCATCATCTATAACATCTCGGTCAGTCTCTCGCTCTACGCTCTCTTCCTCTTCTACTTCGCCGCTCGTGATCTGCTAGAGCCATACGGCCCCATGCTGAAGTTCCTCATGGTCAAATCCGTCATCTTCCTCTCCTTCTGGCAGGGTGAGTCTTCATCACGTCATCCTTCATCTGATAATCTGCATATTCTGACCTGACATTTGATTTTCCCAAATAAATAAATGTTAAAGAACATGTCAATATAACAGTTATTTTTAGGTGATGACAGAAAAATATATTTCCTTTTTGTTTTGTTGGGATGTTGTTGTTATTGAACTACATATTATTGTTAAATAATGAATATAATCCTATAATAAATCTGATTTGTAACATGCATTACAGTATTAATTATATCTGTATTGGATTGTAGACATTAGAAAGGCTTGGGCGATGCACTGAAGTGCCAGTAAAGCACTGTGTCATTTTGCATGCTGTAGGGATGCTGTTGGCGATTCTGGAGAAATGCGGCGCGATTCCTCGCATAAACTCTCCTGATGTCAGTGTGGGGGAGGGGACTGTTGCCGCCGGTTACCAGAACTTCATCATCTGCATCGAGATGTTCTTCGCCGCTCTGGCGCTCAGACACGCGTTCACTTACAAGGTCTACATGGACAAGAGACTCGACATTCAGGGTAACTGCATTTGATACTGTTTTCATGATTAGTTTAGACCAGATTCGGATTCACACACTCGTTTCAACTCGATACTGATTCTTTTGGGTATATTTCAGTTTCACACTTGCGAGATGCTTTCACTTTTCACTGCCGTGGAGTCGAGAGCCTGTGACAGAGACATATTTCAGTGAAATCTTCAATGTTTCTAACTGATCTTTCTCTTTTTCTTCCTCTCTATCATGTCATCCCTCATTCCTGGGTTTGTTTACATTCTCAAATATTCATTTCAATGTGGATGTGCTGTCATTTTGTCTGTTTCGCCTGTGTTTCTCTGTATTTTGTGTCTCTCTCAGGTTGTGTTCCTGTCTATGGCCAGTACGGTAGGTTTACTCGATTTTATGTTTTCACTGTCTTCATTTAATGCATAATTCACTTTAATACACATTCTATGTTTCTGTACAGGGAACCTTTCATTTTATTTAATTAATTGTGTTCATTTTTTTATTTATTTATTGAACTATTAAATTTTTATATTTTGACGACTTTTTATTTTTTATAGTTTTCGTTTTTAAAGCTTTAGTGATTTTGTTGTGTTTGCCATTTTTATAATAGGTTTTTCTTTAAATGTGAATGGAATTGTTTATTTTTTCAGTTTTAGTTGTTTTTCCAATTAAATACTCTCTAGTTTCAGACCAAACTCTAATGCTGTTTATTAAAAAAATTGCAAGGGAAATAACATTTTTACAATCAATTTTTATAAAGAAGAATTAATTTTTCTGTAGCATCTTTCTTAATGCGTACATTATTGCCCTATGTAATATGTATGTAATGAAATAAATATGAGATTATTTATTTATTTATTTAAGATTTGTATAAAAATGTATGGTAAAATGCTACAGCCATGGTTCTGTCAGACTGTGCCGTTAACTAAAGGCTATTGCCAATTTTTCCTTCAATTCACTCCTCACAAACAAAAAAAAATTTGAATAGGGAAAGAAAATTGCTCTGCAAGTGGTTTCAAGTTTTTGTGTGCTCAGTAAAACTGTGTGTTTCAGGTCGTTGTGCTCCCATGAGCATCTCCAGCAGCCTGAAAGAGACGATGAATCCGGGTGACATGCTGCAGGACGCTATCCATAACTTCTCTCCGGCGTATCAGCAGTACACACAGCAGAGCCGCTCCGAGCCACTGAGCCGCTCCAACAGCTGCAGCAACGAGAAAACACTGCTGCTCAGCTCCGACGATGAGTTCTGACGCACTCGCGTTCACTTACAAACACCAATGAGACGATGATCACGATGCCTACATAGACAGCATGTTTAGGCAGCATCAGTGCTTCCAGACAGAACGCTGCAAAACTACTGTATGCTACCTTGCGGTACGTCATTTGTGGCCAAAATATCGAGAGAGAATACTTTAATCCAGTGGTTCTCAAACCTTTCAAATGAAGTTACCACCTTTGGTCAAATCAGAGCACAAATCATTCTATTAACAGTAGTGGAAGAATGTTCTGGCAAGGTTCTCTCAAAGTTATGAACAAACGTTCTTCCAGTAATGTTAATCAAATGTTTGTTCAAACGTATGTTCTCAAAATGTTAGCACAAAAGCATTTGTTCATCGTTCATTGTTCACAAAACATTGTTCAATGAAAGTTTTTTCCTGAAATGATTTCATTGGAAGTTTGTGTAACATTTTTTTAAATGTTACTACTTGTTCCGGAATGATCAGAGAACATTCAAAAGTAGCGTTCCCATAATGTTTATACAATAATAAAGTGTAATGTTTCCTTAAGTCACATAACAAAGAGAAAACGTTTTTAAAACATAAAAAAAAACACAAAAAAAAACTAGGCGTTCAGAACATTCAGAAATAACGTTTCTAACATAACTTAATGAGAACATTAGCAAAACATATTCATTAATACAGCCGATTTTGAGTAATATCATATTCTGATCAATATCAATTAGTAGTTCAGATAAATCATTACACTATGAGGCCTCTTTTTAGGGCTCATCCACATGAGGCCAGAGCCCTAAAAAAGGGCTAATCCAAAAATACAGTATTTTTTTTCCTTGTTCTTCCGTAAACAAAGCGTTGTCTCAAGAAATATTTGCGTACAGTACATTCGAAACCACCGAAACCAACTCAAAACAATGTAGTACATGCCAGACCAGTATGTGGCGCTGTAATTCTGCCACAGAGGTAAACTAAACACAGAGAAGAAGACTTGGAGCATGCGCATAAACCTTGCGCGCTGTATACAAACCTAACACAATGACAAGAAGACGAACATGGAACAATACTCTTATTACACTATTTATTAATCTGTGTTAATGTTAGCTAATAAAAATAATACAGTCGTTCATCGTTCATGTTGTTGTTGCTGTCACGTGACGTAGTCTGACTAGGGTGACATCATCGTTTCACAAAATATACGGATTGGCTGTACACAGGAAAACGCAACTGGGACCCGGGTTCAAAAAAATAACGGTTTCAGGCTCCCAAAACGAAACGCCGATACGATAAAAAATCTTTACGTATACAGCTAAACGCGTCTCCGTGTGGACGGGCCCTTAGACTTTTTCGTCATGTTTTCAGCTGCTTTTCCGCACGTTTAAAATCAAATGAAAGAATAAGCATTTGCGTAAAATAATCTTAAGAAATAAATATTCATTTAAAAGTGCGGTTTGAGAATCACTGGTTTAATGTTCTAACTGGAGCAATGTATGTGTGTCACTTGAAGCTGCTGCCTGTGTAGAGCGTCTCAAATCACTCACTAATGAGGGTTTATTGTATGTAGTAGATTTGAAAGAGCGAGACAGACTGGAGGATGATTATGAATCATAATGATGTGCCATATAAACACAAATGCTCCTCTCTGCACTTTCTACATGTATATTTCAGGGTAACGTGCTGTGTAATAAACTACAGGAGGAACTAGTTCATGACTGAAATGCCTTAAACATCTGTTACTCTCATGTGGTTCACACTGGATTGAGAACTTTACCATAACTGCAGATTTGAATGAATCAGTTTGCTGTCTCTTCATTTTCTTTTCACTCTTGAGTGTTTTCCTGCTGTTTTTTTTCTGTTCCTCTGAGTAAATGAGACTGAAATCTCTCCTCAAACGGATGTAAAGATGAGTGAAATACAGATGGGACACAGATTAAACCTTGCAGATGTTTGAAAGCAGCTGTGTGAAGCTTCCTCAGTTAATTGTCCTGTTTCGTTTGAGCGTCTTTTGTTAATCTTTCCTGTCTAAACAATCTCTATTTTATTGGCACTTTTAGCTTTACCTCTAATTATCATAAAGTTTGTAGACAAAAATTCTAGGTGCATTTTGAATGTACCTGCCAAGCAGTGGTGGAAAGAGTACTGAAAATTTGTACTTAAGTACAAGTACTGTTACATTGCTGAAATAATACTCAATTACAAGTAAAAGTACTGGTGTCAAAACAGTACTCAAGTAAAAGTACAAAGTACTCCTCTCAAAAACTACTCAGAGTACTATAGTTACTCAGCTAACAATTTTTGGTTCCCAGAACGTTCCCTGTTGGTTAACCAGGAAAGTTTTCTTAACATAAATGGAACGTTCCCTTTAGGTTAGGGGAACGTTGCGGGAACGTTCCCAGAACGTTCTCAGTCTGTTACAGGAACGTTCACCTAACCTAAAGGGAACATTCTATTTACGTTCCGAGAATGTTCCCAGAAAGTTCTCTGAAGGTTCCCAGAACGTTCTCCTAACCCAGCGCTGTCCAAACTCGGTCCTGGAGGGCCGGTGTCCTGCAGAGTTTAGCTCCAACCCTAATTAAACTAATCAAGCTCTTACTAGGCATAGAAACTTCCAGTCAGGTGTGTTGAGGCAAGTTGGAGCTAAACTCTGCAGG